TGAGTTCTGGGCACTGTTTCATCTCATTCTTTTGAGTGATTCTTTCCCTGGCTTCAGGTAGTTTCCTGACAAGTATGCACTGCTTGGTGCACTGAACACTTGAGGGGGTCCTCTCCATGCAGCACTCTGCTCTCTGCTCTGTAAACTCCAGCCACCGTGACTTCCTCAAACTCCCATTTCTCTCCTCAACTCAGGGCTGTTGACAGGCTCTACCTGGATGTCACATCCCTGACTGGAATCTGTCACCAGTGAGCTGAACAGTCATAGGGATCACCTCATTTGTTTCCCATTTCTCATGTGTCACTGTCCTTCATTGCCTGATGTCCAATTTCTTGAGAGCCACTGTTTCTTACAGTTTCCCTGATTTTTAGTTGTTTTGGGTGGGAGTTAAATTTAGTCCCTGTTACATCGTATCCAGAAGCAGAAGTCTTTTCCTTTTACCTCCCTTCCTTCCCCCTCCCCGCCTTTCTCTTCTTTTGTACCTTTTATGTGTCTCTACCCAATTCACACTTTGTTTTTGATGATGAATATTTTTGGATCAGGCCACTGGTTTAAGTTTTTTCGAATTCATCCTCATTTCCATTTTGTTTATTCTTACTTCAAAACAATTTTTTTTCTGTTGGTTTTGATTTTATTTTGTTCCTTCTAGATTTTTTAAGCTTCTTATTCCTTACTAACTTACGTATTACAGATGCTTCTCAACTTATGGTGGGATTAAATGCATTTAATACCCCACAAAACCCATCATAAAGTTGAAAAATCTTAAGTTGAACTGTTGTAAGTTGGGGACCATCTATATAGTAATAATTTTAATAGCTTTTCTTATATTTGTACAGGTATAGATCTTTAAGCAGCACTTCAGTATTAATCCCTCTAATAGATTTTTTTATATGTATTTTGCAAGAAACTGGTGTCATCATATTTTAGTCCATATATCTCATTGCCTTTATAACTACCATTCTGTCCTGTGAGTGTGCTTTAAAATCTCTGTGGTGATCTCTACAAGTTTGTTGACCAGTCTTTAAGATCCTTTAGTTCTTAAAATGTTCTGAAGATTTCAAGTCAGTGTCAATATACATGCAGTATTAAATCAGTTGCTTTAAGAATCTGAGGGGCAAGTTCAGAAGTAATTCTTCCTCTTTTAAAAAGCTCTTGGTGCTCTAGGATGTTTTATCTTTACATAATTAGTTTACTACTGTTATAATTACCCCCATAGATCACTTTTATAAAACTAGTTTTTGTTCCTCTTATAATAGTGTACTCACTGTAGATAACTTAAAAATTAAAAGGTGTATATAACCACACAAACCCAAATTATTTCAGTTATTTTAACGTATTTTTGTTTTTTTCTATTCATTTATATAAATATTTACACAACTCAAAGGTGATGATGAAACTGTTTAAAAAGCAACATTGGCATAGGCACCCATCAATGAGAATAGTAACTGTAGTGCTAGAGTGATGTCCTAAAGCTATTTTGTGTAAGTCTCTTCTAGTTGGGTTGTGGAGAGGACTGGAGTCTGTAGGGTAGGGCCCAGCAAGCAAGAAGGATGCTTGGGGGGGGGGGGAAATGTCACAATAAATAGTAAAGTGTTCAAATCCTCAGGAGTATGCAAACTGATTTTTATTATCAGGGGACGATGTCATAAATCATAGATAGATACTTTCCACCACTGCGCATTGTTGATGTCTGTAAAAATTGGTATAATCACACTGGAAAGCAATTTGGCAATATGTATTAAGCACCTTAATTTCTATAATTTAACCAAACAATAATGAGAGATGTGGTATAGACTTACATATAATGATGTTCATCACATTATCTATAAAACTGAAAAGTTCAGAATAACCTAAATGTGTGACAAAAGATTAAATATACCACTGTATAGTCATAATGAAAAGTATGCAGTGATTAAATTGATGTTTTTGAAGAATAACACAAAAATTTTCCAGTGAAATGTTTGAAGTGAAAAAAAAATGTGTGTGTATATATATATATACATATATATATATATATATGTATATATATACATATATATATATATATGTGTATATATATATATACACACACATTTTTTTTTCACTTCAAACATTTCACTGGAAAATTTTTGTGTTATTCTTCAAAAACATCAATTTAATCACTGCATACTTTTCATTATGACTATACAGTGGTATATTTAATCTTTTGTCACACATTTAGGTTATTCTGAACTTTTCAGTTTTATAGATAATGTGATGAACATCATTATATGTAAGTCTATACCACATCTCTCATTATTGTTTGGTTAAATTATAGAAATTAAGGTGCTTAATACATATTGCCAAATTGCTTTCCAGTGTGATTATACCAATTTTTACAGACATCAACAATGCGCAGTGGTGGAAAGTATCTATCTATGATTTATGACATTGTCCCCTGATAATAAAAATCAGTTTGCATACTCCTGAGGATTTGAACACTTTACTATTTATTGTGACATTTTCTCAGTGTTCTATGCCTTTCCGTTTTCATAAAGTTTAAATTTTTTGGTCATAACAAAGAAACAATTGTGGTAGGTCTGAGTAAATTCCAAGAGTGGAGAAACTTTACTTGTTTTTCAGATACATAAAGGTGAGATGATGTGAAAACATTTTGACAGAGGAAGGATGGTACAGTTGAAACGTACAATGATAATGATAGTCATCAATCCAGAACATAGAACTGTTCAACTTGGAGATAATACAAAAACATTTCATAAAAAGATAACTTTAGCATACTACTGATAGAACTAAAACAATTATATAATCTGTGGCTTAAAATAAAGCCATGTCCTGGAGAATAGGATGATTCTAAATACAGGAGAGTATCTAGACATCTTAGTCACCTTAAATCCTTTAGGAATGAAGGGTAAGATTAATTATGAATCACAATAGAACAGTGACTTTAAGAATTAAGTTTGGGGCCGACCCTGTGGCTCACTCAGGAGAGTGCGGCGCTGGGAGCGCCCAGGCCGTGGGTTCGGATCCTATGTGGGGATGGCCGGTGCGCTCACTGGCTGAGCGCAGTGCGGGTAACACCAAGCCAAGGGTTACGATCCCCTTACCGGTCACACACACACAAAAAAAATTAAGTTTGGAGGGCCGGCCCGTGGCTCACTTGGGAGAATGTGATGCTGATAACACCAAGGCCAAGGGTTCAGATCCCTATATAGGGATCTGAA